GGGGGGTGGCGGCGCCCCAGCCACACCCACCGCTCTTAGTGCGATTGCCCGCACCAGAACATGTGGCACATCAATGCCTGCGTTCCGATCCAGTGCTGCATGCACTATTCAATGAGCTCATTAGCCAGGCCCCCCTATCACATGACCCTCATCACATGGGCCCCCACCATCACATGACCCTCATCACATGGGCCCCCACCATCACAGAGTCTTGTAGAGTTGATACACGAAGCTATCTGTGATGGATTTTGGTAAGCAAGCAATTCATTCAATTAAAATGATTCTTTGGTCATGCAAAAAATGAATTGAAAGTACGTTTTATAGATATAAATGTAACAATCACAAGCGATCAATGAAATTCCTCCACAGCGAAGTTCAAATTGACTGAATGGAGCATCTTTGGTTCCCCATTTCTGCTCCATACAGTCCACTTAGTCTATTGATTTGGATCATCACATCAATGTGGCCGCCATAGAGGGTCATGTGGTATCTAATAATATTATTCTGGGGGGGAGGGGCGGCTGTTGGTTTCACTCTCCACCAACCAGGAAAATCTCAGTTTTTGGTAAACGGACCCATTAAAGATCCTACAGAGACCAGACCACCGTTACCCACCCAGCCGAGTCCGTAGAGCTGACTTTTGACATGTTGTTTTTCTTTTCCAGGACCTGCCTGGGGGCCCGGGACCCGTACTGCGGGTGGGACAGTAAGAAGAAGCGCTGCACCACCCTGGAGGACAGCTCCAACATGAGCCTGTGGTTCCAGAACATCACCGAATGCCCGGTGAGTGATGACATCATAGTGACACCCTGGAGAGCCAGGGAACCCGTCACTTAGGGAAAGGCGGATTTCCATAACACAAGGAGGCAGATCGGCATCTGAGGGCCGGAGATCGATAAGTGGGAGGCCCCTTGTCGGAGGTATAGGTGGGAGGCCCCTTGTCGGAGGTATAGGTGGGAGGCCCCTTGTCGGAGGTATAGGCGGGCGGACCCTTGTCGGGGGTAAAGTTGGGAGGCCCCTTGTCTGAGGTATAGGTGGGAGGCCCCTTGTCGGAGGTATAGGTGGGAGGCCCATTGTCGGAGGTATTGTTGGGGGGCCCCTTGTCGGAGGTATAGGGGGGAGGCCCCTTGGCGGAGATATAGGGGGGAGGCCCCTTGGTGGAGGTATAGGTAAAGCCCCCCTTTCGGAGGTATAGATGGGAGGCCCCTTGTCGGAGGTATAGGGGGAGGCCCCTTGTCGGAGGTATAGGGGGAGGCCCCTTGTCGGAGGTATAGGTGGGAGGCCACTTGTCAGAGGTATAGGGGGGAGGCCCTTTGTCGGAGGTATAGATGGGAGGCCCCTTGGTGGAGGTATAGGTGGGAGGCCCCTTGTCGGAGGTATAGGGGGAGGCCCCTTGTCGGAGGTATAGGTGGGAGGCCACTTGTCAGAGGTATAGGGGGGAGGCCCTTTGTCGGAGGTATAGATGGGAGGCCCCTTGTCGGAGGTATAGGTGGGAGGCCCCCTGTCGGGGGTATAGGGGGGGGGCCCGTAGTGGGAGGCCCCTTGTCGGAGGTATAGGGGGAGGCCCCTTGTCGGAGGTATAGGTGGGAGGCCCCTTGGCGGAGGTATAGGTGAAGCCCCCCTTTCGGAGGTATAGGGGGAGGCCCCTTGGCGGAGGTATAGGTGGGAGGCCCCTTGTCGGAGGTATAGGTGGGAGGCCCCCGGTCCGTGGTATAGGCGGGCGGCCCCTTGTCGGAGGTATAGGGGGGAGGCCCCTTGGCGGAGGTATAAGGTGAAGCTCCCCTTTCGGAGGTATAGGTGGGAGGCCCCTTGTCCGAGGTATAGGCGGGCGGACCCTTGTCGGAGGTATAGGGGGGAGGCCCCTTGTCCGAGGTATAGGGGGAGGCCCCTTGTCCGAGGTATAGGGGGAGGCCCCTTGTCCGAGGTATAGGGGGAGGCCCCTTGTCCGAGGTATAGGGGGAGGCCCCTTGTCCGAGGTATAGGGGGAGGCCCCTTGTCCGAGGTATAGGGGGAGGCCCCTTGTCCGAGGTATAGGGGGAGGCCCCTTGTCCGAGGTATAGGGGGAGGCCCCTTGTCCGAGGTATAGGGGGAGGCCCCTTGTCCGAGGTATAGGGGGAGGCCCCTTGTCCGAGGTATAGGGGGAGGCCCCTTGTCCGAGGTATAGGGGGAGGCCCCTTGTCCGAGGTATAGGGGGAGGCCCCTTGTCGGAGGTATAGGTGGGGGGCCCCTTGTCGGAGGTATAGGTGGGATGCCCCTTGTCCGAGGTATAGGTGGG